GAATTTGAGGGCTGGATTATCCAGATTGACCCTGACTGCAATCACAAGGGTCCTTATGAAAGGGAGACAAAGGGAGATGATGTAGGCAGAAGGGAAGGCAATGTGATCACAGAGGCAGAGGTTAGAGGTTGGAGTGATGCTTCTATGAGGCAAGGAATGCAGGCAGCCACCAGAAGGGGAAGAGGCGGGAAAGAGATTCTCTGCTAGAGCCTTCGGAGGATCATTGCATGTCCTGCTGACACCTTGATATGGGCCCAGTAAAACTGATTTCAAACTTCTGGCCTCAAGAACTGTGAGAGAATACATTTCTGGGGGCGCCTTGGTTGCTCAGTCGGTTAAGCATCAGACTCTTGATTTCGGCTCAGGGTCGTGAGATTGAGCTCCACCTGGGGCTCTGCGCTGAGCATGGAGTCTGCTTAAGATTTTCTCTCTCCCTCTCTCTCTGCCCCTTCCCCTCAATCCAATATTGTTACCTAAAAAGCTACCTGCAGTCCATGGCAGGCAATATAAAAGAAGTTGTAGAAATGGGGGTGGTTTCAAAATTAGATTTTTTCACCATTCCTGACCTTTCTTACAAAATATATAGAAATATCCTATGTTACATAAATGCAGATATTCACTTCTGCTTGGCAAGCTAAAGAGATAAGAACCTGGCAGAAAATTTGACCCGAAAGGTGTAAAAAGGGGGAAAAATTTTTAAATGGGACTTAGGTTTCCTTACTACCAATAGCATAAACTTCTGAGGCACCTACCATCCTAAAAAAAAAAAAAAAAAATCTTTAAATTAAACTTACACACCAGTGTTCGGTCTCTTTTCCGACAATCCTTTTTGGAACGCTTCTTTACCAACTTGTTATCACCTTAACATTTTGGTAGACTGAGAATATTGCTAGTGAGATTTGTCAGTGGAGCAAAGATTTATCTAAGCCATTTATTCAAATCCTGTTTGCAGCCTTCTATTTCAGGAATGTAATTAAAACCATCTACTGCCGCTTGAATTCTCACTGGATATCATCTCTGCTGGCCAATCTCTTTTGTGGACTCCACTTCAATGTTATATTAATTACAAGCTTCATCTAATTAAAATTCCTAGTCTGTGGTCTTTCTCCTACCCTTTATGCCCCAATATTCCTAAGGTGAACCCAGTAGTGATTGTTTCAAATGTTCACCATCTTTGTTTCCCTGAGTGCTTGCAGGCAGTTCTGTGGTTTAGAAAATTAGAATTTGTGCCTTAAAATTCATATTGTCTGAGGGTCTATTTCCAGCAAATATTGCTCCCATTGATGGGTTGTCTGTAGCTTTAAGGTCGTGGTTCTCACCAAGCCACCTTCAAAACTACCTTATCCTGGGTGCTAGGACAAAGTGTGTTAGAACTGCAGGACACAGATGCCTGGGTGTTGTACTGACAAAAACCCAGATGGTTCAGCCACAGAGACAAGAGCCCCTGCAGCTCACTGATTTAATTGTTGTGTGTGAATACCAAAAATAGAAACAGATTCTACCTCTCCATTCGTGGCTTCCCACTAATGACATAATGATGGCACAAATGTCGAAAGTGGCAGAGCCTAAAAATCCTGGTCTCACAGTAATTGAGCTCCTTTAAAATTGTCATGACCATGTGACACAATGACAAAGGAAGTGGTTGTGAGAGGCACACACCTAGCAGAACAGCAGTAGGCAAGAGAGGACCACAGCGCAGATGCCCAAAACAGAGGCAGCCTACATGGTACGTGGATAGGCCAAGGCTCCTAGGGAGGAGGGCGTGTGAATGTGAGATCTTTGTAAACATCAGATTATCCATGATGGTTTTCAGTGTTTAGATCGTCTGGGTCCTGAGGCTCTTATCTCACGAATGTTGATACTTTATCACAACTTCTCATCTGTGGCCAGATGCGTGCTATTTATCTTCTGTGGCTCACTCTGCTTTGGGTTCATGCACAGTTTTTTCTAAACTGAAAATAAAATTACCTTTCAAGATCTGCTTGATCTTGAAGCAATTACCTGCTCAAGGTCAGAGACTTGGTGGGTGGTAGGGGAAGGTGTGGTCCCTGAAGCCAACAAGATCTTTCCAGTAATCCACATTGTCTGCCTGAGAGGCAGGACACCGATTTATTTATGTAACCTATTACTCACTGGAATATTCAGCGGCAATACAAGGAGGCAGGTTGTTGGTTACAGTGATATAATAATTTTTTCTCAAATGATCACTGTAGTTGTTACCACATGTAATAATTACAATTAAACTTCCTTAATGACTATACCAGTAACATTGACTTTGTGGTTGAGCTGAAGCATATCTTTGTATTTTCCATAATGAAAATTTTGTTAAACAAATTAATTGTGTAGACAAGACTACTGAGTGGAAAGGCTGTATTCAATCCCTTTAGAGGCAACCATTTACATACAACATGTAAACACTTGATATGCCAAATATAGGCAGTAAATCAGTGTGCTGTTGGCAAACATTTTTATTTGTTTGCTAAAATTGGTTTCCCGGGTAATACATTAGTCCAATTACAGATGCTATATATTTTTGAAAGCATGAAAACTTGATTTAGATCACGACATTCCTACTGTTCTCTAAACGAATATGCTGTTCTTACTTCACTGTAATTATTAAATTTGACTCTTGGTAAAATAATACAAGTCTAGCCTAACCACGTCATTTTACGAGTTAGTAAACCGAGGCTCCAAAGCCTCAGTGATGGAAATAGACATCATCTGGTGACCATCAGTTTAGTGTCATAGACTCGAGCAGTTTCTTTCATGAGTACAAGGAAAGTTCGAAGTCATTGGCACTTGGCTGCTTGCTGCTGCCACTGTAAGCTTCTACTTCTGCCATCTATTTGTCCCACCCCGGTTTGCCTGGTACGATCAATTGGCACCTGGCATTGCATTTCAACCTCCTTCTTGGGCGTATCCTGTACCACAGGCGTTAAAAAGCTAAAAACCACATTCCCCAGGTGGAAGTGAGGTGAAAGCCACCTTCCTGCGGCTTTAGCCCCACCACTGGCAGGCATAATCCCGGAAGAGGCGGGGTTTTATGCACCCAAGATCTGCCATCTAGATCTATCGGGCCTGGGGAGTGCGAAGAGGCCATCGTTGCCATGGAAACTAGATTTTAGCTGCGCATCCAATCGTTCTGCTAGCAGCTTCCGCTCTTCCCTTTCTCCTCCACTGCACTCTGTTGTCTAGTCTCCCAGGCAAAAGTGGCCACTAGGACTTCCTTTCTCCGCACGTCAGTTATTCTGGGCTACTCTAGAACAGTCGGAGAACCCCGGGCTCTATGCCCACCTTGCCCCTGGCACTCCCTGCAAATGAAAACTGGTGGGGAGCCCTGGGAGACCTAAATCTTTTCTTGCAAAAAACAAAGCCATACATCATTTCTGGAGGAAAGCAAATCTATCTTCCTCATAATACAAAGTTAGCACAGGAAAAAAAATACTCCTTGAACACTTTTGTCTCAATCTGCAAGAAACAGAGAGAAATGAAGTGTTTCTAGCATGAGCACAGTGGTGTTTTAGAAAGATGAGTCTAACAAGAATTAGAGGAGAAGAAGGTGGAATCAGGTAAGCTATGTGGGAGGCTGTTTTCATAGCATGTTGGTTCCTTCCTTCATTTGACATATACTTACTAAGTTGTTACTACTCCCCAGTCATTGCACCAGATGCTGAGGATACAACGGAAGACTGACCCTGCCTTTGAGAAGCTTATGGTAATTAAGCGGGAAATGGCAATCGGGCAGTGTAAATGCCAGGTAGAGGATACTCTGAAAACACGACCTGGACAACCAGAGAGAACAACACGTAAGTTGACAATGGAAGGATGAGTCAGGAGACAGCCTGGGAAAGGGGTGGGAAGAGCCATCCAGGCAGAGGGAAGAGCGGTTCAAAGGCTCAGAGGTGAGGGAAAGAGAGCTTCTTTGAGGACCTGAAAGAAGTTCAGGATGTCTAGAGCGTCTGAGTTGAAGTTGGGGAAGAGGAGGATGAAATGGGGAGAGATGAGGTTGGAGAGAGAGAACGAAGCCTTGAAGGGCTTTCCAAGCTTGTTAAGGAGTCGAGGATTTCTCTGAAGAACACAGGAAGCCACTTAGGCAGAGTGGTGACATAATTACATTTGCATTCTAGAAATGTATTCTGGCCGCCATATGGAAAATGGATCACCGGGGAGGAAACTGGAGGTTGAGAGACCAGCTGGGAGGCTGCCACCATAGGCCAGAGGCAAGACAATGATGGCCTAGATTTGGGCAGTGGCAGATGGCAATGAAAGGGACCCAAAACATCTTTCAAAGAGGAATCTTCAAGACATCCCTTTATACAATTCTTCTAAAAAATTATTTTGCTCTTTCAAATCATGCAAGTGGAAATGTGGGCTTTGTGTGCACCTCTCACTTGTGCACATCGGAGTGGCCTAACCACTGAACATCTGTTAACAGACACCAAAATGAAGGCCTTATGGTCACAGAGAATATAACCAATTTTTATAGGGTAGTCTTGCAAAATTAAATCAATTTTGTGACGCCAACTGTTTATCTCATTTCTCCAACTGAATACTTTTTTTTTTTTTAAGATTTTATTCATTCATTTGAGAGAGAGAGAGAGCACAAGCAGGGGGAGAGTTGGAGGGAGAGGGAGAAGCAGGGTCCCCACTGAGCAGGGAGTCCAATACGGGGCTCGATCCCAGGACCCCGGGATCATGACCTGAGCTGAAGGCAGACGCTTAACGACTGAGCCACCCAGGCGCCCCTAAAGAAATGTTTAAATAAAAAAATCTCAACATATTTAGAAGTATAGAGATATATAAGTACAACAAACTGCCATATACCCATTGCCCCAACTTAACAGCTGTTAACATTTACCACACGATTCATCTATCTCTTCTTCTTCTTTCTCTCTTTTAAAAACTGAAATATTTTCCCTTCCTTCCTAAAATGGAAATGTTTTTTATTTTATTTTATTTATTTGTTTTTTTGCCAGTTTGTGTTTTATTGGTGCCGGTACTCAGGCCTTGACTGTGTACTTCCTCAGTGGGTACAGCTGCTCCTTCTGCCGCTGCTTCTGGGTCTTCAGGTTTTTCTCATGCTTGTTCAGCTGGTGGAGCATGGCACGTATTTTACTGAGGTGCAGACCCAGGGACTTGTACTTCTTACAAGTATGCTCCATCAACTTACCCTTGTGGTATTTCCTGAGGTTCTCTTTCTGAGTCTGGTTGATGACGGGGAGAACGTGGATGATGGATTGGAGAACAACTCGGATCTTGGAGAGCTTGGAAGCCGTCTGCCTGTCACTTTACCTGACATCTCTTGGGTGACTCAAAGGTTCTTCAAACTCATCAGGCCCCAAATAGAATTTGTGATCTTCTCACACATCTCCACTTCTCCCCAACATTGTTTTTTCTCTGTGAAAAAAAATCAGTCTACCATTTTTTTATTTTTTAAATTGGAATTGACAGAATCAGTTGATTCTGTCAATGCTCTGTGAATCAGTTCTGTCAATTGATTCACAGAAGTCAATCACTAGATAGATAGATCAATCTACCAGAAAGCTATGCATCAACCTGGATATCTCCCTCTCTGTCATTCATCATTTCCAATCTTTCACGAAGCCCTGTCAATTGAACTTTTTTTTCCTAAAGATTTTATTTATTTATTTGAGAGCGAGAGCACGAGAGCGGGGTGAGGGGCAGAGGGAGAAGCAGACTCCCCACTGAGCAGGAAGCCCAATATGGGGTTTGATCCCAGGACCCTGAGATCACCACCCAAGTGGAAGGCAGATGCTTAACCGAGCCACCCAGGTACCCCTCAGTTGAACTGTCTTAATAGCTCTTAAGTCCATCCACTTCACCCCACCTCCATCACTATTGCCCTTATCCAAGCTACCTGGCCTGGGCTACTGCTATGGGTTCCTAACTGGTCCACCTGTGTCCACTCTGTCCTCCCGTATACAGACGGCTGGCACTCATAGGAGAGGCCTAGAATGAGGGTATATTTTGTGTAGCCATCTATGTGTAAGTGGCTATTTCTCTTTATTCATTTTTTTTTTTTTTAAGATTTTATTTACTAGGGCACCTGGGTGGCTCAGTCGTTAAGCGTCTGCCTTTGGCTCAAGTCATAATCCCAGGGTCCTGGGATCGGGCCCCACATCGGGCTCCCTGCTCGGCGGGAAGCTTGCCTCTCCCTCTCCCACTCCCCCTGCTTGTGTTCCTTTTCTCTCTGTGTCTCTCTCTGTCAAATAAATAAATAAAATCTTTTATGAGTGGAGGGAGGGGCAAAGGGAGAGGGTGAGAGATAAGCAGACTCCTTCCTGAGTGGGGAGCCCCTCGTGGAGCTTGATCCCAGGACCCTGAGATCATGATCTGAGCCAAAGTCAGATGCTTAACCAATTGAGCCACCCAGGCGCCCCTCTCTTTATCCTTAAACTCAGGTTCTTTATAAGTTATGGATATTAATTCCTTGACTGGAAAATACGTCACACAGATTTTCTACTGCTCTACTGCTTGTCTTTAAATTTGCAATGTCTTTTAAAATGGGACAGCAGTTTTAATTTTTACTTAATTAAAATTATCAATATTTCCCTTGACGGTTTGTGAACTTTTTTCTTGTTTAGGATGACTGACTCTGCAGTAGGGTTGTTGTTGTTTTTTTTTTAAAGATTTTATTTATTTTTATTAGAGAGAGAAAGAAAGAGAATGCGTGTGCAGAGGGAGAGGAATAAGGGAGAGAAGCAGACTCTCCACTGAGCTGGGAGCCCTCTTCAGGGCTCAGTCTCCTGACCCCAAGATCATGACCTGAGCAGAAATCAAGAGTCGGACACTTAACTGACTGAGCCACCCAGGCGCCCCACTGCAGCAGGTTTATAAACACAATCCCATATAGATCTTCTTTTAATATTTTAAGAGATCTTTTTTACAGTTACATCCTTAATCCATCTGGAATTCCTTGTTTATCATGAACTATGGGTCTTTCTTCCCTAATGGAGAGCCAATTTTCCCAACCCTTCTAACTGACCAAGCTATCCTTTGCCTGCTGATTTGAAATACTAGCTTTATCATACATTAACTTCTCATATACATGAGTCCATTTTCAAATTCCCCATTCAGTTTCATCGATTTAGTTTCTTCATCAGTACCGTATTATTTTATTTATATAGTGTTTTTTTTTTTAAGATTTTATTTATTTGAGAGAGAGAGAGAGAGAAAGAACACAAGCAGGGCGAGTGGCAGAGGGAGAGGGAGAAGCAGGCTCCCCACTGAGCAGGGAGCCCAACAGAAGACTCGATTCCAGGACCCCGGGATCATGACCTTAGCCGAAGTCAGATGCTTAACCGACTAAGCCACCCAAGCGCCCCTTATTTATATCGTTTTAAAGAACATTTTGATATGTGGTGAATCTGGTGAAGTGCTATCTCAAACTGGTATTATTAAGATTTTTTTTTTTTTGGGCGCCTGGGTGGCTCAGTTGGTTAGGCGACTGCCTTCGGCTCAGGTCATGATCCTGGAGTCCCAGGATCGAGTCCCGCATCAGGCTTCCTGCTCAGCGAGGAACCTGCTTCTCCCTCTGGCCCTCCCCCCTCTCATGTGCTCTATCTCTCTCTCTCTCTCTCATTCTCACTCTCTCAAAATAAATAAATAAATCTTAAAAAAAAAGATTTTTTTTTTTATGAAATGCTACATCCCTTACGTAAATGTTCAGTAACACCTCCTCCACATTACCCTGAAGGCTGAATTGGCGTCTTCTTTTTTCTTTTTTAAGATTTTATTTATTTATTTGAGAGAGAGAGAACATGAGCAGGGAGGAGGGGTAGAGGGAGAGGGAGAAGCAGGCTCCCCACTGAGCAGGGAACCCAATGTGGGACTCGATCCCAGGACCCTGGAGTCATGACCCGAGCCGAAGGCAGACGCTTAACCATCTGAGCCACCCAGGGGCCTCCGAATTGGCTTCTTACTTGAACACCCATTGTTAGGGAAGAGTACCAATGGAGTCCCCCACTGCTGCAACTTGTGGAGCCAATCCCATACATCTGGGGAAGTAGCAAGGACCCACGTGTCTCATGTGTAACTGGTAAACCCCAAACTGAAAAATGTGCCCTAGTATAAATCTCTAACTGGTATTATGAAGTTCTAGTTTTGAGATTCAACCCTCCTCTTTTGTTAAAGAGTCCCTAAGGTCCACTCTCTGCTTGCATCTGTCATTACAATATCTCAATGTACACCTTATAGTTCCCAGGTTTAGTAGAGATTTTTCTATACATTTTAGGTTGAGAAAAGATTGTAATCTTTAAAATCAGTCTGTCTTGAGTGCCTGGTTGGCTCAATCTGTTCAAGTCCCACATTGGGTGTAGAGATTATCTTAAAAAAAAAAAAAAAATCAGTCTGTGTCAAATCACACCATGCTCCTGGGCGCCTTGGTGGCTCAGTCGGTTAAGTGTCTGCCTTCAGCTCAGGTCATGATCCCAGGGTCCTGGAATCGAGTCCCGCTTTGGGCTCCCTGCTCAGTGGGGAGTCTGCTTCTCACTCTGCCCCTCCCCTCTGCTCAAGTGTACTCTTTCTCTCTCTCTCTCTCAAAAATAAATAAAATCTTAGAAAAAAAAAAAAACCACACCATGCTGGTGGATCCTGGGACATATACCGTCAGCTAACCCTTTCCATGGGGTCTAGATTCTGGTGAATTTTTAATAGTACTTCTTTCTTTTTTTCTTGAGTTTGGATTTGGAGTCTTTTCATGTTAATTTTGTTTTGTTTGTTTTTGTTTTTTAAGATTTTATTTTTAAGTAATCTCTACACCCAATGTGGGGCTCCAACCTAAAACCCCAGATCAAGAGTCGCGTGCTCCACCAACTGAATCAGCCAGGTGCCCCTCCTTTTCTTTAAGTGTATTTAATTTTTAATTAATCTCTACCCCTAATATGGGGTTCGAGCTCACAACCCTGAGATCAAGAGTCATATGCTCTTCCAACTGAGCCAGCCAGGCACCCCTTTCCATGTTAAGTGTGACTAATCTCTAGCCACCCAGTAAGTACCTTCATTAGACTGGGGAACTGAGGTATCTCAGACTTTTTGTATTTAATTGAATATAATCAAATGTTAGCTTTGCTTTTATTCTGGGCAAACTCTTCCCCACTGTTAGAATTTAAGGAGCAAAAGAGCACAGAGGACAATGTCTGACTTTTAAGCAACTTTTGGGTTGCTTTTAGAGAAATGTTTTTCAGTGCCTTCAGATCATTAGGAAGGCTATCTGTATGAGTGGAAGATTTATGTGAAGCTAACTTTGTAGCTAGAAAAGGAGGGGTGGCTTACTTGCTATGACTTGCCTAATGAATTTTTTTTTTTACTGGGAAAATGAAATGTAACATCTTTTAACTTGAAAACAAATAGCACACTATTAATCTGATCAAGGTGTGACTATTAAAATTTTCACCATTCATCAAAAATCCTTACCATTGTAACCATGGTAAGGATTTTTTAAAATGTGAAAAACCACAACAGAAATTAGTTATAAAAATAGCCTTTGTCAGTAATCCTTCATGCCTGGAGTCTGCCACATGTACAGAATTTTGAAACTAATTAGACTTCATTTTACAAAAGGAGCTTTTTTTAAAGAAAGCACTCGTTTACATGCTAATGAGACAAGTCATTTGCATGTTCATTGAATGCCTCACAAGTTCCCAAACTCATCTTGCCCTCCCTTACGGAACTCTGTGATGTATTTGTACATTTTTCCCCCTCACAGTCCTTTATTGGGGCTATAGTGACGACTTCTTTGTCTCTTGCCTGAAATTTGCTCGCCTGCAAACTCCAATTCATCTATCAAGATCCAGTTCAAAGGCCACCTCCTCTGAGAAGCCAACCTTTACTATCCCAGGCAGAATTAGTCACTTTTCTCATAGCAGGCCATCCTTCCTTCTCTGTGTATCAGTTTACTGGCTTACCTTCCTTTCAAAACTCTGAGTTCCTCAACACCAAAAAATATTCCACCATAGTTGTGCTCAATAAATTGAATGAATGAAGAAATCTTAAAGGCTGAGATTTTCTTATCTTTCTTTTCTTGATATTTCAGTCCTTTCTGTTTCCCTTAATATGCTCTCAGAATTTTTTCAATCATAATAATGTCTTGTTTTTCCCGGTGTTTTTCATTTTTAAAGTAGTTTCATTGATCTGTTTCTTTTCAGCCCTTCAACTCTTTTGGGGGCAGGTCTTCCATCCCCCCCCCATTTTGACCAATGAGGAAAGAGACACCCAGAAATGCCAGTGCCGGGCGCCTGGGTGGCTCAGTTGGTTAAAGC